TAGAGAGAGAGAGAGAGAGAGAGAGAGAGAGAGACAGAGACAGAGACAGAGAGACAGAGAGAGACAGAGAGACAGAGAGACAGAGAGAGAGAGAGAGAGTCCTGGTGTGGTGCTGTGGGTTAATGTGTCAGACTGCAAAGCCATTTGAACTGAACTGCAAGGTTGGTGGTTCAAGCTCACCAGCTGCTCCCTGGAAACCGTATACAGGGTCAGAATCCACTCGATGGTACTTAACAACAACAACAAATATATATTTTATTGCCACTATTTGCATATTTTTCAGTAAAAATTTATTGAAGTCAGATGTTGAGCTTGTCATACACTTCTTAATGAAACAGATAAGTTGAAGTTACTAACCCAGTTTGTGACCTATGTTAGACATTCAGTAACTAGTTTAAAATAGAGCTTTAGGAATATTTAACTACAGTGATAACAATGTAGACATTTACTTTGGGAGAACTCAATATATTTTGGTTTGTTGTTGTTAAGTGCTGTCGAGTTAGTTCCAAATTATAGTGGCCCTGAATAGGGTTTCCAAGAAAAGCTTTTAAAATCTTCATGGAAGCAGAAGTTCTCATCTTTCTCCCACCATATTTTGGAGATTGTTGTTGTTAAATGCTATTGAATAGGTTCCAATTCATAGCAACCCTGTTTAGGGTGTCTGAGGAGCAGCTGTTGGGTACAGCCGACCTTGTGGTTCATAGTCCAGTACTGACCCTACAGCATCACATACAGTACATTATGATTCAGGAAGGGGCCTGGTGATGCAATGATTAAGGTAATGAAAAAGTTGATTCAGATCGTGGGAGGAAAGACCTGTCCATTTGCTCCTGTAAAGATTACAGTCTAGGAAACCCTATGGGGGAGTCTACCTGTCCTATAAGGTCTCTATGAGTAGGAATCAACTTCATGACATACAACAACATAAATCAATAATCTTGACTATCAGTTACTCTATTTTTAAAATGAGATTGATTATGTAGATTGGAAATATTTTATAGTGATAAGAATAGCTCACAATAGTTTTGTTTTCTTACAAAAAAGTGAATTTGAATAAGGAATTACCTTTAGGATTTGATTATTAATGACATACTTATTATACTATTATAAATTTATTTTAGTTTTTCACTTAAATATTCTTAGTCAAGTCTTCTGAGTTAGATCATTATCTACCCTGTTTCCTGAGATTAATGCAAGAATTGCTCATTTTCATATGTGGTTGTTGTTGCCACTGTGTTGGACAGCGAACACATTATCTACCCTGTTTCCTGAGATTAATGCAAGAATTGCACATTTTCATATGTGGTTGTGTTAAGTGCCACTGAGTTGGACAGCGAAACTCATAGGGTTTCCAAGAACTGTTGGAGGGTTTGAACCAACAACGTTGCAGTTAGCAATCCAATGCTTATCTTACAGTAACACACCAGGACTCCCACTTTCATATAAATATTTGTAATATGGATAGTAAATATGTATGATTATTGCTAAGTGCCATTGAGTCAGTTGCGATTCATAACAACCCTGCATAGGGTTTGGAAGGAGCAACTAGTGGATTTGAATTGGTGACACTGTGTTTGCAGCTTACTGCTGATCCTGTAGGACCACAACAGGGATCCAAATATATATGATAGGTACCTACAGTTTTTAAGAAAATTGAATAGAATCGCATGTTTCCCACATAACCCATTGCTGTCCAGTAGATCATGACTCCTATAGGATGGACTAGAACTGCCCCATAGGATTCCTAAGGCTGTAATCTTTATGGAAGCAGACCCCCACATCTTTCTCTTGCATAATAGATGATGGGTTCAAACCACCAATGTTTCATAGCAGCCAAGTACTTAACCACTGCACCACTAGGGCTTTCTTTTTTCTTGCATTGTTGTGGGGAAGTGCTGTTGAGTAATTTCTTATTCTGACTCATAGTGACCCTGTATAGGGTTTCCAGGGAGTGGCTGGTGGGTTTCAGCTGCCATACTGAGGTTAGTTCAGTGCTCAACCTACATTGCCATTGACACAGCAGAAGAATAGCCTCTTTCCACAGTGTTTGTTAGAGAATTAAGCCCTGATGCATTAAGGCATTGATTCCCAAAGTGTGGCCCTGAATGATAGCTTCTGTGTTTTGGGGAACTTGTTAAAAATGCAAATTCTGGGGCCTCAATCCATATTTATTTAATTTGAAACTCTAGGTGTGGGGCCCTGCAGCCTCTTTTAACAAACAAGTCCTCCAGGTAACTTGATTCATACCAATCTAAGACATTCATCTTATACAATTAATTGAATTCTCTCCTATACATTTTTAGGAGGATTGAGAAAAGACTCCATAAAACCAAACCTACTGCCATGAGTTGATTCTGACTCTTAGCTTCCCTATGTAGGGCTTCCCAGACTATAAATCTTCGGGGGAACAGACAGCCTTATCTTTCTTTCTGGAGTGACTGGTGGGTTTGAATTGCTGATCTTGTGATTAACAGCCTAATGCCTAATGCCACTTTGCCATCAGGGCTCCTTCATTGAGAAAATGCTGTCGTTGTTGTTAATAGAAACCCTGTACAGGGTTTCCAAGACTGAGGCTTTTTAAATCTGTGTGGGAGTAGAAAACCTCATCTTTCTTCCCTGGAGCGGCAACAAAAAATAAATGCCTGTGTTCTGTGGCTTTAATATAATAGACTTTATGAGGATTTAACTAGTGATTGTACAGGGACTATTTGTATATAATATGGTGCTTGCATGCATAGTGGCCAAAACACATAATTTCCTATTTCACAGACTATATTGTGGACTTTAAGTGACACAGTAACACATACCTGTAAGAAGACGATGAATG